ATAACTCTCACAAAGGAGTGCTGTCCACAGTTTTTTTAATCGAGCAAAACAAATTATCCAGGCGAACAAGGCTACCAGGTCGAACTGAATTACTTATTCGAATTACCTTTTCAAAATAGAGACCCCAGAGCTTCCAGTGCTTGAAACGAGAGTTAAAAAGTAAAATCTGAAGTTCCAGTCCGACGCCTTAACCACATACGTGGCGAAGTCTTCCTTACAGTAAAAGTGTGTTTGAACGCATTGGAAGAAGCACCTAAAAGAAGGACAACACTGCGACGAATTTACAAACTTCATATTCTACACCCTAAAAACAGGGCTAGCTATTTGGATGAGAAAGACATCGTCTTCAAGATACTATCTGACGCGTGCGGTGTCGTTTATAATGGACGTACTAGAAAAGCCCCTTCGGCACGCATTCACGAACGCCAACTGGCAGTAAAAAGACGAAATCACCTGCCCTAAGTATTCATGCATACCCTAGACACAGAGCCCACATTCGCTAGGGACAAAATTTGCATGTTCGTTGTCTGCTCTTTTAAGAGGAGCCGAGAGTTCCTCGAGGTCATGCACTCGGAAGAATCATGCGTCAACCGGCACACCGAATCAAATGTCATACGCAAAAGCTTTGGGCAGAACCAAGAAGAGATGAGAGCCAATCAGAACATGACGAAGCATCCGGCTACGGTCTACTGACGCAACCGCAAAAGAGAATCGATTGTTAAGTGCCCTTAACATGTTCACTTTGCTCTGTTCTGCGCCTGGAGACGACCTGGGGAGTCAGCGTAAATAACTTATTCAATAAAGTCTCATTCCCAACGGAAGTATCGAACTTATATATAGATCAGAAGTCGTATGCACTCCAAGCCGATAAAATTAAAGAATAGCCCTTTCTGAAAAATACCAGTTTATCCTTGAAGTTTCGAGCTGGCGACAACAATCCGCTGATAGACGAAATGAAAACGAGAAAGAAATAGAGACTGTCACGCTGGACCAGTTGCCGCGACAGGACAGACAGATTATTAACGAGCGAATGGGATGGTCACAGAGGGGAAACAATTATGGGTAAATTGGACTTTACGGAACCGGAGTAACGGTCGTTGATGTGGGATTAGGACAGAGGTAGGTAAGTCATGAAGGTAGGCCCCTGTAATGGGCGTATAGGTTAACATGGCGATTTATACTAACAGCATTGAAGAACCAAGCATCAATAAATGTTCTCGCTCGCGTTGTGTTGGCCATAGCACTGAACTCAGTTTCATCCAAATGGAATCGTTCTCAAGTGCGTGCGCAAAGACGAGAGACAGGGGGTCTTGGCGACAGGAAGCTAGTTTGCGTTCAGTAATACGGATACCCAGGTGTTCGACTGCCCGGCAAGACTGAGCCGCTTCACGGACAATGAGAAGCCCACCAGCATAGAAAAAGAATTTCAGTCGTGCACTTGACGCCAACCAAGCCCTCACCAAATGACGTCAAAGGAAGCGTTGTGTGTGGGCAGAACCGGTGCACCAACTGGTTGAATTCTAGAATCAGTATTTGAGATGCATCATGCCAGTAAAATGCAGTAATGCTGCCTAAGTTGAAATGTCGCTTGCTTTCAAATACTGGACGCAATTTCCTTGAAAAAGCCATGTGCCAAACATATGTTTTCGATCATCAATCACCAAGTCACTAAAAGTACATGGTCTAAATTCTTTCCAGCGGATACGACTGCATTAATATAAGCATAAAAGTCAACACAAAATACGGCCAACATCAGGACCCAGAATTGGTGTCGGTTTTTGTGGTTTCAATTGCGCTACGGGCAGATGAGTTTATCTGGACACGCGTTAACTTCTACGATGCCCTTGAGGAAATTTCGTTGTCTTCCGTCTTGTCAATCAGCAGGCAAATGCCAAGCCTTCGTCTAAGCGAAACTCACCTAGTGCAGGTACGATTCTCCCAAATAGCTTACTATCAAATACTCCCCCCCAAAAAAAAAAGTGAAACCACCCCGTTCGGGGCTGTGCCTACGAGACTATCGACAGTTACGCCATAAACCTGAGATATACAGAGTGTCCCAAAAAAATGTACACACATTTTAAATAATCATAAACTTGGTATTTATTATAATTTCATAATTTCAAAAATGTGGAAATATTTCCAAGTATCATTTTATGTTTTTTCCCTGCATGTTCTCAAACTGACGTCCCTTTTGATACAGACACTGCTGATAACGCGAAGCAATGGAATCGCACACACCATTCATGTTCAATGACTTCTCTCAATTCAGCGACTGTTGCAGGTTTCATGTCGTACGGCCGTAACACCGACGATCTACGGTCGGTCTTACTTGGGGCAGAAAGGGCACTTATTTAAACCTGGAATGAATGCGCATAGAACTCATCG